AATTTTGGAAGAAAAAAAAATTATTGTAGTTTTAAAATGAATTAATTATTAGACAAATGTGATGGAAGTATCGATAAGTATTTTATACGAAGCATACATGAATTCTTTTAAGAAAACTTATTATAAAATCATTTATTCATATTTGTAAGCGACTAATTTTTATAATTAATCAATTGAATTGTATATAGTATTTAACTTTATGACTTATAATTTTAATTTCATGCTTTTATTTTTTAGTAAGTAAAACACAAATCAATTTAATGTACGTGGTGATACTAAATTACGTGGGAACAAGTTTTGGTATAATTATTTCTGCTTATATGATTTACGTATCCCTTTGGGTAGTTGGAAACGATAGCTTCAAATGGTATACAGCGAATATTTTTCTAGTCTGTTTTCTGGGAAGTATTATCAACCTTATTTTTTCTCTTTCTACGACAGAAGATCAATCACTGTGAGAAGAGTAACTTGACTAATTTAATTAATAAATATCATTTAATATCTTTATTGATTGATTTGATTTAATATATAAAATAAATATTAACAAATCAGTATTAATATAGTAACAAAATTTTTATCTTAAGTTTGACTAGCTTAACTTAGACTAACTTTAAATTATTCATTTAATTTGTAAATATTTTAGGCTAATGAATATTTATGATCCACTTGATTTCTTGCCACTTTGGATTTATACGCATTTTCGAGTTGTATCATTTGCTGGTCTCTTAGAAATTTATATTCTGTACGACCGCCTATCTTTCTGCAGACATATCAAACCACTGAGGTAATCAATATATGAAATTCTTTTAGAAATAAATGATCAGAGCAGTGAATCAACCACAATTTCATGTTATAATCAAGTACAATTTTATTATAATAGTTAATTACATTTTAGTTACAATTAGTTAAAATTAATTACCTTTTATATACTTGCAAGCAATTAATTTGCTTTTGAAGTATTATGTCTCTCACTGATTTCAGTAATTTACTGTAAAATCGTGTGCTTACCTGTAATAATCTTTATGTAATTCTTATTGTGAGATTACTATCTAATCATTTTTTAAATCAATCTACAAAAAATAGTATGTGCTGAACAATACTGTATTATGGTATTTATTTCCGAGACAAATGGTCTGCATTTGGATTGTAAAAAATATGCATAGCAATGAAGCAGACGCAATCTTGCTAATACTTTACTCGAAATAGATTAACTTTCGTAACACTTGTAATATGCTTTTTTCAATTACAGTAACTCATTTACAGGAGGATAATTTATAATATTATTTTGTTAGTATTGTCGATCGTGCTTTGCTCACCGTACCTCATAATCTCAATTTGGTTCAGCACAGTACCACCTGTTCTTTTTCCACTCTTTTATAATTACGCAGTGAACACTTTGTACATTGCATCTGTCATATTTTCAATTTTTGTAAGTTTCAAAAAAATATTTTTAAATAGAACAAAGACTTGAATGATGATAGATATTTCATACATAATTAAATTTTTCCCACGTAAATGATACGTGTTTTTAGCATAAACAATAAATATTTTTCACATAACTTTGTTCATAAAAAATTTGTGTTTGTTTGTGTATTAGTCTTTATTCTCATGCTAATTTGCATATATTTTTAGGTAATCATTTCAATATGGAAATATCGAAAAACGACTGCAACACAGATTTTTCGACGTAGATTGCGCACGTTTTTAGTGTATATTATGCCAGTCACTCTACTTGATGCTATCTATTTCCGTATGCTTTTAATCTAAAAAACTTAATTAAAAATATTTCGATGAACTGATCTTTGTACTTAATATTATAAAACAATGCAGTCTTGATGCGTACAGTTGCTGTTTAATGAAGAAATAGTAACGATAATTGTTACTATCCAATATGATCGTAATTCTTCTAGAAAATTGAAGAATTAGCATGAATTGCATACTACTTACTTTTTTTAATTCAAAAAATCAAGTTACAGTAAGTTAAATACTTTACTTTACAGTAGATGGAGTGATAGTTTTGATAAATGGCTGGAGGGATTACTCTAAAGTAAGTGGATACAATTTTTCTGGTTCGTTAGAAGAAGTGACTTACCATATTTCCTTAATCACGGATTTTGTAAGTATTTCTATGAAATTTAACTTTTTTAGTCTTAATTTTAAAATGCATCTAAATTTAATATCTTAATTCCAAAAAAAATTGTAATTGTTGTCACTTTTTTAATCCTAAAATTCGAATCAGTACTTGAAATACTTTCGTTTAGTGTTATTTTGAGTTTGGCAAAAAATATTTCAAATTAATTAACGCATTAATTCAAAAATATCTTACGTAGAAATTTTTTTACGTGGAAAAATAAATTTCAGCTGCGCCCAACACTTCTTGCAATTTCTACAACAATTGCATTTAATGCGTATCGCCAATCATTTCTACGGATATTTTGTTGTCGCTCACGAAATAGAGTATCAATCCTACTTGTTCAGAATCCAGTTATTATCAATAACATGCCTATCCTTGACAATGATACTAACATTAGGAAGAAATCAATCGTAAAAACACGTAATCCTGAACATGGTAATTTTATTCGCGGCAAATTTTTAGCTACAATAACTCCAATATCTGGGTAATTCACAACTGTTAACGATTGTACTGGATAATTGAGATTAAAAAACTCCTATTTATGCAACATACTAGTAAAATGATGTGATATTCACGTAAATACAGTTACTCTCTTAACAGCAAGACAACTGATACCCAAATAATAAAAGTTTTATCACGTCACGTGTAAGGCTTGTTGCTAATGTCTTACATTCCATAATAAAATGTAAATTTAAATTATTAAAAATTATTATTTTACTAAACAAATCCATCATCATTGTTACCGTTATCATTATTATTACTTGTGGAATAAGTTTATCCACAAATTACATTTCAAAATTTGTGTTACAGAAATATTAAAAAAAATTAAAATGCCCGTAAAAATCACATTTTGCTAGCATTTTCGGTAATTTCAGCTTATTATTTAAAAAATTTTTAAATTAAAATTTTATTAGCAATGTATATTTGCAATATCCTTCAGATTAGAACAATTCGAATTAATAAACACAGCATCTTTGCTGGTCTTGATGGAACTTCCTTTCTGTTTTTACATTCATTGTGTCTACTTCTTGTTTATAAGTTTTAATTTCTGTTAATATAATTCTATAATGCAAACAAATATAAAGCAAAAATTGGACGAATTTCATACAATGAGTTTTATTTGCATTATTAATGCAAAAAATATAGCGTAAAATTATAAAAAAATGAAATTGTATAAATCTTTAATAAACTTATAAAATTTTTAATATTTCCTTCTATTTTGATATTTTTCACCTTTAAATTTATCAAATTACAAAAAAAAATCTTATTTCCACTAGACAAAGTAACGAAACATCGTATTATCAATATTAAATTATGCTTTAACAAAAACTTTTATTTATTATCATCCATGACTTCGATGCCTTTTCCACCAAGTTGGCCTCTTACCAAATCAAACATGATATCAACGGTTGCTCCCAGATCAAACATTGGTTGCCATCCCCAATCTTTCTTGGCACAATTATCATCCAAACTTTTCGGCCAAGAATCAGCTAGAAACTTAATTCATCTCAAAAAACTGATCTATGCATACAAATAAAACATAATGAGTAAAAAATATTAATTAATACGCTTTAAAAAATCTTCATGATTATTTCGCAGTAAAAAATTACTCAACTATTATAAATATAAAATTTAGTCAAAATCAAATATCAATTCAATAATGATTGTCATATTTAAGTACAAAAATGATAATGCAATTAACATGTTTACTCATATCATTGTATAATTTTGTATGCTTGCGCTTAAAGTAGCTCATATCAAGTATTTTAGTAATGATTATGCTTGAGTCTAAAATATGTCTAATTGACTACAAATATTTTACCATCTATGTAAATTGAATCAAGAAGTTAATAATAACAACAGTAGGCAATATTAATAGTGGTAATAATAATAATTTAAATAATATAATAATAATGCCAGAAACAAACTTAAAAATGAATTATTAATGAATTTCATTAATAAAAATTTTAATTAATGAAATCAAAATAATTGTTAATAAATTTTACCAATTTTTTGACGTACTGGACATATTTCGTATTCAATTTGAAACTTTGGTATTACTTTTTGAATCGCTGCAGTGATTTCTTCTGGTGTAAAGGAGTAACCTGTGACATTGTAAGTTCGATGCGATAATTTACTTTGTGGTGCGGTGAGAAACTGCAATTTTATATTTAGAATATAGTAGTATTTAATGATTTGTTCCTAGAAAACACGAGATTAATCAAATTAAAAAGCAAAATTTGTTGCAAACAATTGTATTTATCAAAATTCAAAAAAACTAATAACAAATCATAACACCACCAATTATTACCAATTAAAATTTCTATGCGTATTTGTTAAATTAATAAAATAAATAACTTTATAGAGCTTTAAAAATAATTGCATACTTACTAAAATAATTGAAGCGATGCAGTCATCATCGTACATCATGGGTAAGCGCGAGTCATTACGTAAATAGCACGTGTGCTTTCCGTCAATTAACGCATCGTAAAATATTTTTATCGCGTAATCTAAATCAAAATTATTTTGTCTTTATGCGCATATATCTATAAAATTAAATATGAAATAATTTCAAGTTATTGAATTCAAAAGCGCTGAAATAACAAAAATTTCAAGGCGAAACTATTTCATATGTCAAATGTTTAAAGTAATACTGCAGTTTATTTATTCAACAAACATAAAAATTATTTTAGTGTCTCAATGAAATCATTCAAATTATTAACCAGTCGTGCCACCACCTGGTTTCGTTGCACTAATAATTCCCGGGAAACGCAATGATCGAAAATCTACTCCAAAACGTTCGCTATAGTATTCACCCAAGAGTTCAGCGTATACCTAAATATTATAAGTAAAAAAAAATTATATACAATTTCAAAAGGAAAAAAGGTAAACAATAATAAAATTACAGCAATTAATATCAAAATACAATCATAAAATAAGAAATAACTACTCTATTCACCTTAGTAACACCATAAACTGTTCTTGGTCGTTGTATGCAAATGTCAGGAGTATAATCTAAAGGTGTTGATGGTCCAAACGCACCAATACTGCTTGGGATAAAAACCTGTGTCTGATATTTCCTAAATAAGTATTTGGATTTTGGTAATCTTTAGTAATTTATCATTCCGTCAAAAAATTTATGCAAAAAAATTAAAAGATTTTTGATTAAAACTAATGTATCATATTTGTATTTTCAGACTTGCGATATAAAAAAATTTTGTAAAAAATTTTTAAATTTCAAAATAATGAAGAAAAAAATTCAAAATTCATAAAAAACCAACTTAGCTACTTCTAAAATATTTTGTACTCCATCTATATTAACTTTAAGCGCTAAGGGGACGTTTGCTTCACCAACAGCACTTAGTAAAGCCGAAAAATGAATTATTGTATCGACGTTATGATTGACTACAATTTGGCTAATAGCAGATTGATCGAGAATATCCAAGTAATAAAATGGATCTGAAATTCGTTATTGATTGAAATTATTATCGCACTTAGATTTTCATCGTTTAGGATCATAAAAACTTTCCAAAATTGCATAGGTGCAAAAAATAATTTGAAAACTTAGGATTATCAGTAGTAGCAGTATTAATAATAATTACATGATATTAATTATATTACAATATCTTTGTAAACATAATCTTTAATTTATAAATCACGATCATCAACTATGCAAAATAATAATAATACCACTATTATTACTACTAATGTTAATAATGATAAGAATAAATAATCTTTAATTTATAAATCACGATCATCAACTATGCAAAATAATAATAATACCACTATTATTACTACTAATGTTAATAATGATAAGAATAATTACTACTATTATCCCAATAAATAAATATAAATAAATAAATAAATACAATCTTTAGGGTAATAAATTTTTCATCAGCATGATAAATTTAAAAACAACGATGTTAGATGCGAAAAATACAAGAAATAAAAATGTATTTTTTTCTGTGCATAAATATGACAATCCTTAAAATATTTATAGCTGTTTTGATAAGAGTTTTAAATTTTTAAAAATGACAGCAATTATTAGAAAGGACTCAAATTAAAATTATTAATAATTAATAATGATAAATAAATAATTATTCTTAAACGTATTATTAATTAATTTTGCCTAATTTTGATAAATTAAAATGGAATCAGAAAATTATGAAAAATATTAAAATAATAAGTCAAAAATTCATCACCACATTTCGCGTTTGCCTTTGGTCTCACAATATCGGTCATAATTACTTGTTCCTTCCCATATATTTTCCTAAATAATCAAAATTTAGATAATAATTCATTACAGCGTAAAAATGACAAATACTGAGTTACAAGCAGTTCATGCGACAAATGTGTAAGTAATTTTTTCTACCACATACTAAAATTCAAACTTAAAAATATTATTCAGTTTAATTTAATTAAAGAAAGAAATCTTGTCAGCAATAATTAATTGATGAGAGAAAACTCAAATTGTTTATAGACAAAGTTTGTAATTTCATTTCTAAAATGAATATTGAAGTCATACTGCAGATATATTTTATTTAAATGTAAAAATATTTAAAAAACTCAAAGATAATGTACAGTAATTACCGTAGCGCATTTGCAAGGCCTTTACCAAGTTGGCCTAGTGCCCCAGTTATTAGAATATTTTTTGGTTGCTCATTCATTGCAAGTTGTGTGAATTTCGAAAGCATATCTTTTGACTAAAACAATTATGAAGCTTTTAATAAAAATAAAAGTAAAAAGTCTTAAAAAATTTTCAAAAATTTAAAAATGTTAAAAGATTTATTTTTTACAATGTTATTTACTGCTTGTTATTTGAAAGTAAAATTTTCATTTTTTTCAAAACCTTTAAAAAATGTAAAATTTATTTCTTTTGGTATTTTTTTCGATTACTTTTGATACATTTTCAACCATCAAAAAACTTGTTCTAAAAAATACAAATAAAAAATATATATGAAAGAATAACGTGCAGCGTGCTTCTGTAAGTATCGTAATGAAGTTACAGCATTTACGCAACGACTAACTTTATTCAGAACGTGTAATCTCATTGTTAAAACACTTCAAAGTACTGCACAGGCGTAAATCTAAAAATTAGCGTTAAAAATAGCGTTTAATATTAACAATAATACTTGATGTAACGAACAAAAAAGCGACACGTGCATATTGTTTGTAACATATTTTAATGTGATAAACGATATAAATACGAAGACCTATTAAAACGTTTTAATATATGAATTTTGCGCATATCGATTACGGAAATTCACGCAATTCGTGAAGAGAAAAAAAAAATAATAAAAATGTTTATGGAGCAATTATAACTTAATATTATAATGCAATGCAATTAACCTTTGATGCATTTCATTGTACTACAAAGTTCAAGTTATGTAGAATATAGGTCACGTTAAGTACAAAAAGTGTTACTGACAGTGATGGAATAGAAAGTAGTGAAAGACAAAAAGCAAGTGATCTCTCATTTTTGAAAGTGAAATTTCTAAACCTAGCGTTCGACATGACGTCATAGCACTGCAGTCGTGACGTCACCGCCCTACATTCAAATCGTTCATATCACCTCTTGCAACAAAGTAACACCCAAAAAAGAACAATCTACTCATGCGCTGCTCACTTATATGCAAATTACATTTCCTAACGGACCGCCCATATAACTTATGCAAATTTTCTTCATTTCTATCTACTCATAAATATTGCATATGTCGTGACCTACTACTTATCTCGTAGTAGCATTCTTATGTCCTGTCTAAATGACTTAAAACTTACAAAAATGAGTAAAATTACTTGCATTAAAGCACTGCAATATCCAGACTTAAATATCGATTCAAAGTCAATATCAGTCAATAATTACATAAGTCTGGTTTTCAGTTAGTGAGTTAATCTGTTCTCGAGTAAATTACTTGCTTCACTAGTTAATTATTGAATATTGTTGAAATTTAGCTAATGCGATTATAATTTCTTATATTAAAATATTTTATATTTTTGACTTAAAATCTGCTAATTTTAATTATTGGGAATTAAATTTCAGTCTTAGAAAGCAAAAAAAGTACTTAAAACTTTAACTTTAAATTACTGGAATTAATAATAGAGCAATTTTGTTAATTTATTTCCGAAAAATGCCAAAAACCAAAAGTATAATTAATTATTTACTTGAAATGCTTGTCAAAAATTAAACATTTTTACATTAACTAATCAATAAATTATCACATCACTATATTGAATGTAATTACTTGATATGACCTAGTAATATTATAGTAAATGCAATAAAATAAAGAGGGCATAATTTGACCAAAAATGATATATAATTTGAAACTGACTGTAGGACCGACCTTTTTCTTACTAGAAGAACTAAGCAATGTTTTGGGGTCAAATATAAGGTCAAATGACCTCTAGTCATTACTATAGCTGACCTTCCCTCCTAAACACGCCTTTGAAAATCGCTCAATACTACAAAAATAATTACACTATAACACAAAATGTCCTTCAAGCACTTCCTTGTTTCTGTCACTTTGTTGCATTTATTATAGAAATGAAGATTGGCAAGAACAATTTTTTCTTTCGAGATTTTTCCAGTCGTTCGATTAATCAATAAATTATACTAATGTTTGATAAATTTACATGATAAGAAAATAATTTGAGAATTACTCATAGTGATTATTTAAAATTAAAATTCATAAAATTTAATGTGAGACTGTGAAGAATTGCACTTACGCTACAAAAAATATGTTTGATAATTTTGATAATTTTAATATCAAAAAGTTAAATATTAAAGTTTTCTCCGAAACATAATTTAAGCATATGACCTTATTCTAAAGTGACCTTAAAGTAAGACTAGTAAATATGTTTACAGTTTAAATGGCTAAAAAATTTAGATAATATTTGCGGAAGTAATCACTGATGATAACAAAAATTGAACTATATATCATGGTATTCTTGACCTGATTTATATTTTTACTACACATTTCCTTTTAAACTTAATAAAGTAATTATGAAAAATGATAAAAGTTGTGTATTAATACAAAAAATATCTACAAAATTACAATAAAAAGTTTAATTAAAAATATATTCCCAAATTTAGTATTCCAATATTTATTCAGTAATGAATATATTACTAAATGTACTATATAAACTTGTGTTTTCAATACTAATTATATTTATAAACATAGCAGAATCTTTTTAGCATCTGAACAAAATCACTTCTCCTTCTGTATTCATGCCAAATTTTCCTCATGGAAGTTCATCATCGAATGACCTGACTAATATTTGAGAATGTGTGTGTGATCGGTGGCGTTTCATTATTTCCATTTATGGAAATTATTCGATTTTAACTACGATTTAACCTTACAATCGATGAAATGCAAAATTACTACTGCTTTGACCTTTGTATTTAATCATTTTGCAAATAATACGTAAGTCAAACGAAAAATCATTCACGTAAAAACAATAGCAACAACATTCGATGATATATATCGTCATTATTATCACTCATTATATTAGCAATCATAATGATAATAATGATACTAATTATTATTATTAATCATTATCATTACCATTATTATTATTATCATTACCATTATTATTATATTATTATTATTATTATTGTTATTATTATTATTAAACGAATTGTTTGATTATGGTGAGCAACGTGGTGTAGCAATGAAATCTCCGCCACTGGCTTTCAAAACAAGTTTTCCCTTAGCATAATGCGGCATGAGAGAATCTCCCTGAAAAATTAACTTAAAATTTTTTGTCTCAGACTTTTGATTATTTGTCTGGTTGCAAATGATTGCTAGTGATCACGTGACAAACTACGAGAGGTCATAAAAATGTTTAAGTAAGTTGCTTAATTAATGTGACTTTTTTTCAGTTCAGTACAAAAATTATATTTATCAAGTTTATTAATTCATATCTTGACAGTTAATGAATATTGCCTTAAATGATTTGAATAATTAACAATTAATAATAATAATTTTAAAATAATAATTAATAACTTCAAATTTTTGTTATTTTCGAATTTTATTATTATTGGAACAGAAGAAAATTTATGCAAATTCATACTAAATATTTCGTTATTAATTCAATCCATTTATTCGATTTTTTAGAAAATTTTTTAAGCTTTACTGTTTTATCAAAATGAGTTTTTGAAAACTATAATTTGAATTTTAATTATATTTGTTTATATGAATTACTACGATTTTCAGAGTGATTTTGGAATTTATTCATTTGTATTAATTTTTGTTATTTATTATTTTTTAAATTAAACGCAATAATTTTTATAAGTTTAATTCAATTCAGTTGCAACCAAACAAATAATTGCAAAGTTTATGCAAATTTTTTGATTTTATAAACGTTTCTGACAAACCTCTGGCGTGCTACAATGAAGTTTTGGTAAACTCGAGACTTCTGCGACTTCTATCATGCTACTACAAATTGAAGGGCATTCGCATGGGGCTTTCTCAATTTCAGCGCATCTGTACCTCTGCAAGAATTTTTAAAAAGTTTCAAATTTTTGATAGAAATTCATTATAAAAGTTACACCTAGCAATTATTTAAAATTTTCAGTGACCTGGAATCTTTTTTAAAAATTAAAAAAAAAGCTTATTTTTTTAAAAATTTATTTTAAAGAGTTCAATAATGTGATTAGTATTTATCTCAAATGGATAATTTATCTCATTCATTTTAATTATATTTTAATAGACGCTAGAAATTTTGAAAAATTTAAATTTTTGATAAAAAAAGTTTTGAAAAATTTTTAAATATAAGCAAATTAAAGTTAGAAAATTGTTGAATGAAATATGACTTACTAATTTCTAAGCAAGCTGAAATGTTGAAATTACACGTATATACCGTAATTTGGCTTAAGAGTTGTAAAAAGATAAATATGGTTTCAAGATTTTTAAAAAACTTATGAACATATGAAATACATCCTTTTATTAGTTTTTTTATTTCATAAAGTAATAAGGATTGTGCTTAAAGTGAGGAAATATAATGTGAGATTATTTGTTCAAATAAATAAATTTAATTGGAAGTAAAATTACAGGAAGAATAAAAGTTAGATAGTTATTACTGTAGAAAATCCTGTGGCATCGTGACATTTGGACCATTGACTCCACTGCTCTCTACAGGAATTTGAATATACTGCAACTGCCGCAGATAATCCCATTAAACACGCACCAGTAAATGTAAAAGCCGCAAAAAGTACACGTAATCTATACATCCGTCGCAAGTACCGCGTGTATCTGCGCGTGAGAATTATGTAGATAAAAATGCAGACAGTTGGATTATTTGACACAAAATACAGTACCACAATTGGTATGCAGTATATTGCATCAGAATACCAGAACTTATTAATACGATATTTCAAGATATTTAATGGATGATATATTAATATATGTCAAACCGTAGTCATTATTTATTCATGCAATATAATTAAGTAAATGTAATTAGATACAAGATTTTAATTAAATTAATACTTGATGATTACTAGCTAACAAAATGATTATTATGTTTAGTGACTGATTTTTTAGTTACAACATGAAATCAATTATTAAATAACTTTAAGAGAATTTGAATTCAAATAAATTAAATAAAGTGCTTGATTTTACAATATTTGAGCTTGCTCTGTGATTATCAAATGTTTGAAAGTGAATTCAGGTGCAAAATTTATCAAGAATTAATGATCAAAATATTAGAACAATTAAAATTACTTTTTCACTGCTGTACAAAACTTCAGTGATCATAGTCACATAAAGCTACAATAGAAAATCCGTTTTAGACAATCCGGCAAGCGCAATTTAAAGCTACAATAATAGATCAAAATTACAGTATGAATAATGATTTTTTTTTTTCAAATAATTATTTATAAGATTTTAGACAAAGTAAAAAAGTTATTACCTAAGAAAATCTCTTTGATGCTCGATGGATTCCAATGCAGATTTAGATAATTGTGCTTGTGTGCCACTAATTACTAGATTAGCTTCATTTTCGTTAATGCTGTTGATCTTATCAGGTAATAGAAGATTTTCCTCTTTTTCATCCTTCTTAATTTTTTCATCAGAAACTATCATTATCATTATATTTCTGAAAAGTTTCAATAAATACTAACATGATCAAAAATTTAACAAAAAGATTTTCCAACAAAATTACAATATGAATAACAATTTTTTTTTTCAAAAAATCATTTATAAGAATTTAGACAAAGTAAAAAAGTTATTACCTAAGAAAATCTCTAGTTTTAGTTTAGCTAGTAGAAACAGCTTAGCTAGTAGAAATAGTTTAGCTAGTAGAAACAGCTTAGCTAGTAGAAATAGTTTAGCTAATAGACTATTTATTGTTTTATCAGTCATGAAAATGAATAGTCTTGAGAATGAATCTGATGACATATAGTTATAACGTACAATTGAGTAAGTTTTCGAATGAAAAAACAAGATAGAACTAAATTTATTACTTTTATATTGGATTTTATGCAAATTTTTTGTGTCAGTCCAATTTATGACTGTATAAAAACAGTTCAGCTAGTAGACTATTCATTGTTTTAATACTTTCAGCCTTGTATGGCTGCTTTAAAAATATATCTTCTAGCTTCGTTACTTATGTCTACAATTTTCTATGCATTTATTAAAAGGTGTAAACAGTTTAGTCTTATTTTCTTTATTTAGAAAGATTAAGTTTTGAGTAAGAAATTTAACTTCCATACAAAATAGTAACTGCAGAATTTGTTTTTGAATCTTTATTATTTGCTTATAAGATTCCATCTATTTCTTTTCGCTTCATGCATACCACAAATCCAATATCACTGTATTGTGCCACACTCGTCCATCACATCGGCGAAATACCGTGCTGGGCTATATCTCTGTGTACAGTAATAACTCCTTGCGATCCCTCATTATAATGTTGTAAAGTTCTTAACCCTACATCTACATGCAGTAAGAAGTCCCATCCCATATATGTATAGCATGCAATCTTCATGTTTCATACCGTACATAAATCGAATGGGACTTTTCATGTTTTAACTTATCGTTTAATGTTGTACGCAACAGTTTTGCAGAATTACACAAAACCAATTTCTAGTTTAATAATATGAATCTTATAGCATACGGTACCATCTTCTAATTTTAATTCTTTACTGCTCTTTTATTCAAGAAAACAAGCATTACCTAATATTTACAAAGGTATCAAAAAACTTTTTGCATGTTTTTTAACAAACAATAAAAATTATAAAACAAGCGATCAAAAGAAGGGATTATTACAGATATCTTCTTGTAAGAAAAACAAAATGCTAAATTTTGAATTTATAGAAAATTATCGGTTAAAGGGAAGGTAGTAGGAATCAAGCGTGGTTCAATACATGATGTAGAAACAGTAAATCCAAGTAAAAAATTAACTATGACTATATTCGGCGAAAATTTATGGCCTCATGGATTTGATATTATTTGGTTAACTGATGCTGATCATTGTGTGGTAAATCTGCTATCGTCATTGTTTATTATTCATTATTCATTATTATTATTATTC